GCAGCCACTAATTAAAAAAAATAGTCGGCGGGTTTTAGTCCCGTCTACGGCCGTCAATTTATATAATAGCGATGTCCCTGCATAGAGACCCGCTATTATATTTGACAGAAGAAATAGGTTATGCAGAAGAAGAGAAACAACATTGTATCTATTTGTACTTGAATAGAAACATCTGTATCCGAAATGCATACAAATAGATACAATGTTGCACCTTTTTTTCTTTTCCGTCTTCTCCTGCAAAATCTATTTCATCTTCTCTTTTCTTCTATTCTTCTACTTGATATTCTATTTCTTCTTCTCGTGCAAAATCTATTTCTTCTATTCCTTCTTTTTCTTCATAGTCAATTTATTGTCAAATCTGCCAGAAGAACGGCCAATTTGACCATAAATTACCGCGAAAATCGGCTGATCTAACAAATCGTCCCAGGATTTTTCACCTAGGACGATTTTCAAAATCTCTTAAAATTATGAAAAACGGGCAACATTTTTCCCCACTAACTGTATGAATATCGGCCGATATTTATTTATTTTTTTTTTTTTTTCTTCCATCGGCCGATAATTAGGCAAGAAAATCGGAAATCTATGGCCGCTTTTAGTCCTTTAAAGACACAGGATCTAGCTTTTTTTTTTTTTTTTTTTTTTAAGTTAAAAGCTATAAACGTAACCATAAATGTAGTTCTAGCATACTCTGCTTTAATAATAGTAAAAATATTTACAGTAACCATATCCTTTAGTTACTAACTCAACATTGCATATATTCCTCACACTAACGCCATGTGTTTGACACCATCTAAGATCCTTTACCCCGTTGGGATCTTAAAGTGATACCAAAGCTAAAAACGTTTTTTTACCTTAATGCATTCCTTGTATTAAGCTAAGAAAAAGTTTCCTATTCCTTTTTGTCCTCCCCCTTAATCAAATGCAGTGAGGAGGAAGTGTGTGGAGTAAGGGGTGCTAAGTCCCCCTGTGTGTCATTGGTGCTCTGAGCTGTGCTCGGCTTGCTATGGGGACACACAAAGAGAGAGGAGGAGCCAAGATCTCCAGCAGGGGGACCTGAGAAGAGGAGGATTGGGTCCGCTTTGTGTAATACCGCTGAACAGAGCAGGTGAGTATAACATGTTTGTTTTAATTTTTTTAAAAATGACTTTAGTAATACCTTAAATCAATTATGGAAGTGTCTCTGATATTTTCTTGTGGTGCTGCTGCTAAAGTCTATTGGAACTTTCACCCAGAAAAGCACCAAGTTTTAGTCCTAATATATTGCAAATGTTGGCTGCGAGCAATAAAGTATGATGCAAGGCACAATCTTGAATTAAAGAATTGCAAAATTTTAATTACGGTGAAAAATTAAAAAAAATGGGTGCATTCAGTTTGTGGAAAAAGACTTCTTGGTGATGACTAAAATGTTTAAAATATCCAAGGTCCGTATTAAAGCGGTAAAACTTCCTCCCCAAAAAACTTAATTTTTTCGCCACTAATCAACAATTTCAGTTTGTTTTTAATTGAATTACACAGATTATAGGTCACAGATTAGCCAAGTGGATGACCTGCCATCATTACAGGTCACCACCTAACGGTTCCAACACCAACTGAATTCTCTTCAAAAACAAGACGACATGGGGAACAGGCTTGGGCAATGTAAACTTAGATTTGTGGGCCTGCCTGAAGGCGCAGAGGGCTCAGACCCAGCCTCAGTCCTTGAAACTCTGCTCATCACCACCTTTGGTAGGCCAGCATTCTTGTCTAAACTCATATCCTTCTCCATAACCCTGTTTTTCTCCCCTCCAGTCTCTATGGCAAAAGAGAAGTTACCATTTACACATACCTCAAGAATCTCCCGGCTGGATGTCTATTGGTTTGTTTTTTTTTTCTCCTTCCCTTTCCTCTCCCCCCTTCCAGCCGCTTCTACCCCTTCCACTGGACATCAAGCACTCTATGCCATCACATGCTTTTCAGCGAAGGTTCGCTCCCCTAGCCTTTAGAATACCATTGGGATTTGTACATCTTTTCTTTTTTGGGCTTTTTCTTTTTGCTACTTAAGAACTGTTTGCTTGGCCAGCCTGCACTTTGCCATGTGTAGTTGGGAAGCGCCTTCTCCAGTTTCTTTCCCGCTGGTCCAGAGTCTGTTTATTGGACTACATCTTGTTAGGTTTGATTTTAGTTATCAGTTGTTCTAGTTGCAAATGTGAGATGTGTCCATGAGGTAACCTGTACTATTGATGCTTCCCCATGTGGGGCCTATTTGCTATGTATACATATAGTTTCTTATATCTTTATTCTACAGCTATCATTTTGTATTTGTTGTTTTTTTTTTTTCTTTTTTTTGCTTATATTTATCTGAAATTGTATATGTACTACTTTGGTCTATGAGATGCTCTGCTTGTTATTTAGCTTGCTCCTGTCGATCTGCTTGCACATGTCCATTTCCTATATCCCATCATGGCCATCTTAAAGTTTTTGACTTGGAACATCCAAGGCATGTGGGCAAAATCTAAATGAACTGCCGTTTCATCCCACCTTAAGTCACAGCAGGCAAATGTTTCAGTCCTGGTTGATTGACTTATGTTACAGGCCATTTACGGCTAGCCCTTAAAAAAACCTTGGGTTAGCTGGGCCTATCATGCTCCTTACATCTCTAATTCCCAGGGAATCGCGCGATACTGGTTGCTAAGACTGCACAATTTCAACTCTTGACTCTGCAATTGGATCCTCAGGGCAGGTTCCTTTTTCTTTCTTTTCTCAATTAGGTTGAATTGTTGCTGTTGGCATATTATATTCCCCCTCCATTTCAATTTACAGTTTAGACTGAGGGTTTACCCTTTTATGGCCCAGTATCCTACCATGCCTTCTGTATGGCAGGGAGGTTTCAATACTGTGATCGATCTCCATCTTGACAAACTAGGTCCTGACCTGTCTGTCCCCACCCCATCTCACGTCATGAGATTTGGTAAACTTCTGACAGACTTTGAAATGGTAGATACCTGGCAAAATATGCACCCTATGATTAAGGCATTCTCCTACTTTTCTACCTCACATACCACCATATCCCTCATTGTTTTCATTTTAATTTCTAAGTCTTTATTGCACAGTCGTGTGGGCTTCAGTCCCCGAGTGCTGTCTGATCACTCCCCCTACTGGCTAACATTGAGGCTGCATGGGGGGGGGGGCTGGAGGATGAGGATTGAGATGAGGTGCCAGACCAATGCACAATGGTTTCCCCGAACCTCTTTTACCATCTCACTCATTTATATATTCTTCACAGGGCCTATTTTACTCCTATTCGTTTGTCGCACTTCAGTCCTCTTTGCCCCAGATGCAGAGAGGCCAGCTGCACCTTTTATCATTTACTATGGTCATTCAGGGCTGTTGGTCTCAGGTGGTTTGGTTTTCTCAAATGGCCATCCCGCTCACCCTTTTACCCCAAGAAATGCCTATTGGGCATTTTTTTTCCTGACCCAGCTAGTGATAAATTTCACTATATTTTCCTGAAGGAATCCCTACTGATGGCTAGAATGTTAATCACTTGCACTTGGCAAAGGGCAATACCACCAACTGTGCAAGATGGTGGCCGCAGTTAACATTCCGCTACCCTACAAGAAAGATATTTACATTCACAGAGGGTGTCCTGCTAAATATCATAAAAGCTATAGTAATATAATGGATATGGGCTAAAAGTGCACACTCTCAGGTTTAAGTTGAGGGTATGTACATCCAAATTGGAGGAAGGGTTTAGGAATTACAGCTCTTAAAAGTAGCCATCCCCCCTTTTTTCAAGGGACCAAAAGTAATTGGACAATTGAATTAAAAGCTGTTTCATGGCCAGGTGTTGGCTACTCTTTCATTATTTCTTCATCAATTAAGCAGGTAAAGGGTCTGGAGTTGATTCGAAGTGTGGTATTTTGCATTTGGAATCTATTGCTGTGAACCTACATCATGCGTTCAAAGAAGTTGTCCATGCAAGTGAAACAGGCCATTGTAAGGCTTCAAAAACGAAACAAATCCATCAGAGAGATAGCAGCAACATTAGCAGTAGCCAAATCAACAGTTTGGTACATTCTGAGGAAAGACAAATGCACTGGTGAGCTCAGCAAAATAAAAAGGCATGGACGTCCACGGAAGACAACAGTGGTGGATGATTGCAGGAAAAACCCATTCACAGCATCCAGACAAGTGAAGGATACTCTCTAGGAGGTGGGCGTATCACTGTCAAAGTCTACAATCAAGAGAAGACTTCATGAGAGCAAATACAGAGGGTTCACCACAAGGTGCAAACCATTCATAAGCCTGAAGAATAGAGAAGCCAGATTAGACTTTGCCAGAAAACACCTAAAAAAAAAAAAAAAAAAAAAAAAAAAAAAAAAAAAGCCAGACCAGTTCTGGAAAAGCATTCTTTGGACAGATGAAGCGAAGATTAATCTGTACCAGAATGACGGGAAGAAAAAAGTGTGTGGAGAAGGCTTGGAACAGCTCATGACCTAAAGCACACAACGTCATCTGTAAAACATGGTGGAGGCAGTGTGATGGCATGGGCATGCATGGCTTCCAGTGGCACTGGGTCATTGGTGTTTATTGATGATATGACAGAAGCAGCCGGATGAATTCTGCAGTGTTTAACCACTTGCCTACCAGGCACTTATACCCCCTTATTTACCAGGCCAATTTTCAGCTTTCAGCGCTGCCGCACTTTGACAATTGTGCGGTCATGCAACATTGTACCCATATGAAATTTTGATTTTTTTTTCTCACAAATAGAGCTTTCTTTTGGTGGTATTTAATCGCCACTGGGTGCTTTACTTTTTGCGCTATAAATAAAAAAGGTGCAAAAAATTTGAAAAAAAAAAAGTTTCTTTGTTTCTATTATAAAATTTTTCAAACAGGTAATTTTTCTCCTTCACTGATGTGCGTTGATGAGGCAGCACTGATGGGCACAGATAGGCGGCACTGATAGGCAGCACTAAAGGGCACTGATAGGCAGTACTAATGAGGTGGCACAAATAGGCGGCACTGATAGGTGACACTGATGATGGGTACTGATAGATGGCACTGACTGGCGGCACTGACTGGCACAACCGCTGGGCACTGACTGGCAGCACTGGTGGGTGGGCACAGGTGGGTGGCACTGGTGGGCACAGGTGGGTGGCACTGGTGGGCACAGGTGGGTGGCACTGGGTGGGCACAGGTAGGTGGCACTTCTGGACACAGGTGTGTGACACTGCAGAGTGGCACAGGTGGGTGCACTGCTGGGCACAGGTGGGTGCACTGCTGGGCACAGGTGGGTGATCTGCTGGGCACAGGTGGGCGGAGTTAGTGGGCGCACTGCTGGGCACAGGTGGGCAGAACTTGCGGGTGGCACTGCTGGGCACCGATCATCAGGGCACTGATCATCAGTGCCCTGATGATCGGTGCCGATCCTCGCTCTGACAACTGCCGGTTCTCGGCAGTACTTTCCTCACGATCTGACAGCGTGAGGAAAGTGCAGCCCAGAACCGGCACTTGCATTTCCCTCTGATCAGCGTGTCATTGGACACCGCTGATCAGGTGGTAAAAGGCCGCTGTGATTGGCCTTTTACCACATCACGTGATCAGCTGTGTCCGTAGGACACAGCGATCACGGAGATCGCCGGGTGCGCGCCCCCTGGGGCGCGCAGGAGAGCGCGTTCTGGTGGGACGTCATATGACGTCCACCCAGAACTGGCCGGCCGCAGTGCAGCCGTCATTCGGCTATCTGCGGTCGGCTACTAGTTAAAGATATACTGTCAGCCCAGATTCAGCCAAATGCAGCAAACCTAATTTGAACTGTCTTCACAGTACAGATGGACAATGATCCAAAACACACTGCAAAAGCAACTCAGGAGCTTTTGAAGGAAAAGTGGAATAGTCTGCAATGGCTGAGTCAATCGCCTGATCTCAACCCAATTGAGCATGTGTTTCCCTTGCTAAAGGCAGAAAGACCCATAAACAAATAACTGAAGACAGCTGCAGTTAGAGCCTGGCAAAGCATCAGAAAGGAGGAAACCCAGTGTTTGGTAATGTGCATGGGTTCCAGACTGCAGGCAGTCATTGCCATTAAGGGGATTGTCAACAAAATATGAAAAATGAACATTTTATTTATGATTATATTCATTTGTCCAATGGAGGGACTGTGTATAAAAATGGTTGCAGTTCCTAAAATTTGTACTTGATATTTATGTTCAACCCCTTGAATTAAAGCTGAAAGTCTGCACTTGAAATTCATTTGGATTATTTCATTTTAATTTATTCTGGTGGCATACGAGCCAAATTTATGAAAATTGTGCCTGTGTCCAAATATATATGGACCTAACTGTATACTGCCTTACAAATTGAGTCAGGTTATACATGATGTATAATTCATTTATTCTTTTTGCTGTATTTGAGATGTACTCCTTCCTCTACAAGCTAGTATGGTTTCCTTATTTTAATATTTGAAATTGGAAGTACCCCATTGTACTGTACTGTACACTATGTTCTTCTCCCAATAAAGAATATGCCTATAAAAAAAAAAAAAAATTCTCCAATCTATACTTTTTTTTTTTTTTCTAATATGCTCACCAAGAATAAGTCAAATGTTAACCCGTAGCTCCTTACCATAGCTATTTAGAGTAAGTCACAGCCACTTATTGCCTTTAAGATCAGCTCTGGCGCAGGGTGGGCTCTGTGTACCCTAGGGCAATTTAGAGTGCAGCCAGTATATTAAGTGGCCCATTTGTTTGGAACTTTCTAATCCTAGAGTAACTTACAGGCATAAACCAGCAGAACCCCTGTGTGACAGCATTCTGGTAGATCGAATTGTAACCAATGTAACAGTTTTAACATTCACATGTAACACTGGCTGTTAGAGGTCCTGATCTCTGGAAGATGTGCCTTAAAATTCCAATCAGAAGACTGAGCCACCAATATTGCCTTTAGACTCCCTGCAGTTGATCGTTCCCCCATTACTAATTTACAATTCCATAATCTGGATGGTGTCTCTGTGTGGAGGTGGTCATCCTGCTAAAGGAGCAGGGCTTTGCTTCCTTAGGTCATAGCTATCCCTCTGATGACTGGTAATCTGCTGAGGGAACTTGGAATAATCGAACAGTAGGAGAAGCACAGATCTATATACTGAATGGAGCAGGGAGATGAATATGGTGCCAGTTCTTTTCACAGCAGTGACACCAGATCTCACTTCACAGTTCGTAGAACTGGCAGTCTAAGGCTCAGTGTCTTAAAGTGGTATTAAGGCTCTGTTCACACTTGTGCAACTTGCCATGCAACTTTGGACGCTAAAGTTGCATGACAAGTTATACCCCATGTTTTTCAATGAGAACTGTTCAAATATATGCAACTTCAAAGTTGCATCGACTTCAAAGTAGTTCATGCACTACTTTGGTACAACTTTCATGCAACTTGAGTGCGGTAGGCTGCAATGTAAACCCTCAAAAATCGGATGAAAGTTGCACCTAAATGTTATACATGCAACAGTTGTCCATCATCATTAATGAAAGCCAAAGCCGTATTCAAGTTGCACCCATCCAAAGTTGCAAAGTTGTTTAAATGTGAATGGAACCTAAACCTAAAAATAAACATTTAATATATTGCAACTTACCAGTTCTTTTGTTTGAAGACCTAGACAAGGACACTGCATTTCAGGCAAGATCAGCAGGTATTTTCTGTACTTGCTAAAATTGTTCTTATCCTAAAAAGCCACCACAAGTACAGAAAGGATTACAATGCATTGACACAGCTTATATTTTTGTTTCATCATCATCATCATCATCATCATCATTATTATTATTATAATACAGGAATTCTATAGCGCCAACAGTACACAGAAAACACAGCAACAATACAGTTCAATACAAGAGGGTTAGGAGGACCCTGCTCCTTTGGAGTTTACAATCTAAGATGTTTTATTGCTTTTACTGTATAGGAACACTTCCATGTTCACATGGGGGGGGGGGGCTTACAATGTATTCAGGATCTCTTCTCGGAAATGAAATCATTAGAATGTGATTACTAAATATTTTGTATACATTAGAAAATAACTAATAAATACACTGATAAAATAAAAAAATAATAAAAAAAGTTTGGAAATGATGTTTTGCTGCTTATATAATCAATTTGTGCATTTTCTAATTTATGTTTTATTTTTGTTTTTCAGCATCAAAATGGTTCTGATGTGGACCAGCGGAGACACATTTAAGACTGCATACTTTATTTTGAATCAAGCTCCTTTTCAGTTTACCATCTGTGGCCTCCTGCAGGTCATTGTAGACATTACAATCTTGCTGCAGGTGTATATGTACAGCAGATATCCTCAGAAGCCAGTATCGCACATAACACATGCAACCAGTGCCAAAGCTCTATGATGTGGACAACATGTACTGTGTAATCATGTGCTTCCCAGTCCTACAACTATTTCTGCACCAAGTACTGCATATTTGTAAAGCATGTATCCTGAAAGCACATTGGGGAAGATGCATAAAAAAATAGAGTGATGAAATGTGGAGAAAATGAAGCTCAGTTGCCCGTAGACATCGATCTAGTCCCAGCTTTGTTGCAGTGAGAAATTGGGAAAGAAATACGATTGGTTGTTATGTGCAACTTTTCCTCTTGAAAATTTGCTTGCTCTAATTTCATACAATGGCTTCATTTAGGCATGTTTAAAAAGACACAGGTTATAGTTTAGTAAACCTTATCGACCAATCAATCTGTTGCTCATCTGACTGCAGTAAATCTGATTGGCTGCTGTGAATGAATACACTTTGCACACTATCTTTGCTCTTTGCATGGCCTTATAAAGTAAGCGTGTTCACAGTTTTACCTTTCAGTGCTTTGTGCTGTTTTAAGGGGCTTATTTATAATGGTTAAAAATAGTTAGTAGCTTCTTTTTATCTCTATATTTTTCCTTTTTTTTAAAATCTATTTTACAGTTTTATCTTCTAAACGTATTAAGGAGTCCAGGTGGCTACGTCCATTCCTTAGTTCAGGGAACTTTTATATTACATCAATGTTTTTTTTTTTTTTTTTTTTTTTTTTTATATATAGGGGCGGGGGGTTTCATATTTTCATCAAATTTGCCAAACTGACCTTCGAAGAAGAATTGGCACTGTTGTTTTAAGCTTTCAATTGCCACAATACATTTTTTTTTTTTTTTTTATAATTTCCTAGCCTGTTTGCTGCTTTTACAAATATCTAAGAAAATTATGTCAAAGACCAAAAACCAACAGACTATAAAGGTGCAAAGTTTGCAATTTCATTATAAACATGTTCTTAATTCTCACTGAAATGTTATTGCTATATCCTTAACCTGACCTGCATATGTAAATTTTGTGGGAGATTTCACTGCAAAAATGTATTCCTAATGTATGCCTGTCTGTACATTAGTTTAAGTATTCCTACACAGTGTTTTTCATAGGTATGAATTTGAGTCAATACGATCCACATACGTAGTAGGTCAGATATTTATATTGTCAGTGTTAATCTGTCAGATTGCTTTCTGCTTTCTTCTCTCTTCCAGGTAATTGCTGTGCAAGAAGCCTGGAACAATGTGCTATGCAATGTGTATCACATGAACGGGGCTTTGGGCTAATTTCTTTGCATTTTCATGACCGATTGGAATTTAGCCTTTCTGAATTAATCTGGGGTGATTGTCTTCAATTTAATATGTCTGATGCCAAATCAAAGTTTTAAAGCTACATTCCTACATAGGGAGTTCTCTCTTCTGCCCACGCCATATAATCTTATATTGAATGTACATTTCTTTGAACTGAAAAAATTGACAACATCCTGCCCTCCAAAGAGTTCTCTGCCCTAAGTTATGGTGTGCAGTTAAATTCTTTTTCATCTGACCTATGTGTGTTGATCGGGATTGCTCACATTTTTTCTAACCTGTATTTTTGCCATTTCATAGACAGTGTATACCCAAAGTAATCTTTGCGTGTTCATAGAAAATTACAAAACGTGTATAAAGCTGTGCTAATCTATGGAGCCCTGAGATATATTTTAATACTGGGGACCATTGACTGTACATTGGGGCAGCAGGTTGGTGGAAGAGCTTGACCTGGAGCCATTGCAGCTTGGCTTTGGAAGTTGGTACAGCTTACCTACACAGGTTAGATATTAAGGGAAGTTGCAGAATTCTAAGATTTCCTTAATTAAAGAAAATCTGAGCTGGGGAATGCACTGGGTTCAGGTATGTTCAAACAATACCCTGACTTCTCTCCCAGACCTATGGCCAAACCAGCTGCAGGTGCTTAAGGACCAACGGGATGCATCTCTCTCCTGAGTAGTATGCACTGTATAGGAAGAAAGGGCTGCACTACCACTACATACTTTTCAATAAAATGTTATTGTTCACTGAGCAATAATCTCTCAATTGACATACGATATTCCTTGACACAGATTGCCCTAACGTAAATCTTAATTGTAGCGGGTCTAGAGTGAAACACGTCAGGGGAGGAGGCTGTGTCTGATGGGATATTACTACTCAGTTGACAATAAAGTTTTAATTAA